AGTATAGACTGCAAATGTTTGGGAAATATATATATATATATATATATATATATTAGATTTTAATGTTCTGTTTTGAAGTTGTTTTGATTTTTTTTAACTTTTGAAATATTTCTTATATTTGCTAAGATTCTTAAGCTTTTATCAAGCCACGATGTAAAAAAAACCTCATTTGTGGTAATCATTAATTAAATAGTTTTTACTTTCAATTGATATATAATTTTGTTTTATCATGTCTTTAATATTTCAAACATAACATTCTTGATATAATTTATTGCTAAACAAATTGAAACTATTTTATTCAGAAGTATTACTATGAATATATATAAATATTTCTTCTTCTTTCAAATAAGGTATTTTCATCTCATTTTAAATGCAATGCAATCAAGAGATAACCAGAGAGAAATGATGATAAAAGTAAATGCTGAAAGAAATAATGATAAATATAACTGTATAATAAAATATTACATTCATCACGAAAAATGTTAAGTTTGTGTTAAATCATATGTTTTCATTTTTGATACAATTCCATTTTGCGTCTTGTGTGTTGTAAAGTGTTTAAATAGTGTAGAATACTATATTCATAAAATCTGTTGTAATTTTGTGTGTATTATACAAGTTCAACAATTACTATTCTTATTAATTCTATATTTGATTGCTTATAATACAGAATAATAAAAATGGCATAAATGTATTTAAGAATTATATAATAATGAAATATGTGTATTTAAAATAATATTGTAAATATATGAAAATAAATGATAAATACTAAAATAATGTCGTCTTGATTTTTTGTTTTATGCTATGCATATTTCGGCAGATAATTTCTTGACAACATTCCGAATCGATTCACTGATATTTATTTTAATTAAACTTCCAATCAGAGTTTAAATGGTTAAATTATTTTTGAGATATATATAGATTAAATTTTCCTTTTAGTCGTTTTTATATAAAATCTGATATTTTTAAAAATTGCATATAATCATTTAAATTACAATAATTTCAATACTTGGAAATTTTTAAAGTCATGTTCTTTCAAATCCCAATTTTTAACTTTTCCAATTTTTCTATACGTTTTCAGTGGATTAACTCATGGCCCATGGTTATTAAAAAATACAAATATTTGGTTTGTAAGTTAATATTAAAAGTTAATAAATTATTATATAAATAAGTTAATACAGTTAAAGTATTAAAAGTTAATAAATTGTACAAAAATAGCGAGAGTGTGGGAATATGTCACCTATTATAAATTGTTACGTAAATAACTGCTAGTCTCTTACATCACTTACACTAAAAAAGGAAAAAAGCTTTTAATTGCTTTATTGTAATCTTTGTCGATTGCTTTTATATTTTTGTCAATCAAAATATTTCATTACAAAAAAGTAAATGAATGTTTTTATTAAATAATTTTTTATTACAAATTAAATATTTATAGTCCAGAAATTTTTTTTTCTCCATCAAATACGTAATGCAATACATGCACTTTAAGTGCATATCACTCTTATTTAAATGTTTAAAATTAAAACAAAGTTGAAAGAAAATATGCTTTTTAATGTCCATATAAATTTCAGGTAGAGAAGGATTTTTGATATTTTATATTGGAAATTTATTTAGTAAATTTAAAAATTTATTTAAACCGTGCACTGAATATACTTATACAATTATTTAAATCATAAACAAAAACTTAAAGTTCTCTGAACAAGTACTCTTAAACAAGGCTTGTGCGTTTTTGGACAATTTTTTGCGAACTCCATGTCTTTTTTTTTATTTAGAAAAAAAATATTTAAGTTTTAGATTTCACTCTAATTGAATAA